AGATGGAAGAGTCGGTGACGACCCCTAACAGAAGGGCTAAGAAAATGATTCCTACCTTCGGCAATTGCACCAGTTCGCTGCACAGCCGTCTACTGTACCTATATGAAGATATCAAGTCCGTGAACCCGCGATACCTCCTCCATCTCTTTGCCAGCTGGATATAATCCAGCCAAATGCATAACTGGGCAGCGAGAACAAGGCGACTAGAAGAAATAGACGCAAAAGTCCATCCCCACAGAACTATTTCAAACGCAGTCCTTTACTAAGTGACAGCTTTTGGGCCATTGTTCCTACGACTAACGATGGACACACGTGATGGCCAGCACACTCCCTCGTCCTTTCAATACAGTTCCCAAACAGGACGAACCTCCAGATTCAGTGAAGTCGCCAAGAGAGATCAGTGATGTTGTAGTCAAGCATCTTCTAGATTGTATGGGAACCTGATGACTAGCAGGGCTGGCTCCCGTTTTTTGTGCAGCACCAACTACGTTGGGACGAATACCGCAGAAGGTTGACCAAGGGGAGCGCCGAGTACAACATCAAAGAGAACAAGAGCTACAGAATACCTTAACTGTCCTTTTGACTCTTGGTTTTGGTAATGGGCAACTAGGGAACTCCATCATTGTACCTCCACCGGGCGGCCTGACGTCTGGGCCTCCCCAGTAGCCCCGAAGCTCTATTGAACGCTGGCTATACATATTCAGCCCAAGTATTAAGCCTTCGTTCGTCTTCAGACAGGTCTCGGAGCACCGCATTGTCATCAATTCTGTGCCGGGTCGGGCACCGTGAACACAAGTCGCTGCGGTAACCAAGATACCAATGCAAATTTTGCCCCTAGTTCCAAATCGCGTTCCGACTATTCCTGATACTGGGCAGCCTAACTGCGTAAAAACGCAGAGTACAGGCCAAAATTCTTACCTTCTCAAGGTTATAATCGCCACGGGCACATGGATTATTAAATCCACCAATCCACTCTCCCACATGTCTCGTGAGAATCTCAACATCCTTACTTTAATGTTAGGTTTCTTTATACAAACAAAAACAGAAACAGATCGGTCTCACAAGAGGTGCGATTTACTTGCATAATGGATGCCAGCCAACTTTTACACGGAAAGGGCGTGTAAGTAGGTTGACTAGGGACTGCATATGATCGAGTTCGTGCACACGTTGTCCAAAACAGGAGCAGTGGATGAAGGGAGATGTGATTGTCCGGGAGCGAGCAAACACAAAAATGGTAGTAGGCGCAGCGTTGTAATGGCGTGCATGCATAGCGTAGGAGCGCGTTTTAGTGATAGCTAGAGAAGTATTAATGTACAATTCGAGGTGACTTTAGGGGTGGAAAAGATAACGATCAGAAGGCGAGAAGTCCTACTAAAAGGTGGACAAATCGAAATCTTTTTTTCGAGCTGAAAGTAAGGCAACAAGTCAGAGTACACGCATGCAACACACCGTGGTTGTTAGCATCATCATTACCTCAACAGTTGCAACAAGAACAACAACACTGACACAATAATAACAACCACAATAGTTATGTCAGAGAAAGGAAGGGGGGAAGAGAGAACAAGAGTTGGTTAGCAGTACCGAAAGGAGAGGAGGGTAAAAGTAAGCAAACGCCTACCTGAGAAAACAAAATAAGCGGGAAGTATAGAGGATAGAGCAGACGCTCAAATTGGAGCGCAAGAAGGCACCGAGAGACGTCACTTCAGGGAGGAAAGTCGACCCTAGGAGGGAGAGTGAGTGCAGCGCCTAGTGAGTGAGTGTGGAGTTGCTGATGGCTGAGCCGCCGTCGGTGCTGCTGAAGTGGGCGCTGCGCCCATTGCTGGTACTCCTTTTGCCGGGGACCTGGGGTGCTGAATGGTGCAGGTTGGTGGTACGCACAAAAACCCTGGGATCCAATTGTGTAACCTTTAAGATAGCCTGGTCCAACTCCTGCAAAGACCCCAAAAATAACCGGACAGTTAACGCTGATGAAGTAGGCCAAGTGGAGGAAAGGGGGAAGAGATGGAGAACAAACCAAAGCACCATGCCATCATAGCGACTAGAAATGTTCACGAACCCAAGAATGAACATAACAGGCTCTAACACAAAGTTTACCAATGAACTCCGTCAGTACTCAAAACTCTATTAATGCCCATTAGCAGAACTGAAATATCTCCTACTCGTTATTTATTGACGCTGAACGCCTAAGTGATGTGTCCATTCAATTTCACCCTCTAGTACCCATTTCGTTGAATTTTAACACTAGATTTTCTAAAGGAACCCATCTGAGAAGCGCAGAAAGGATGAGCTGCACATAAGTGCCCAATATGTCGTAAGATATAGGGGTGCGCCAGAATTTAGACGGGCTCCACGGAAACAAGGTCATGTTGTTGTTCTTGCTGCTTCCGTGGCTGCAGAGACTACTGCTGATAAATGAAAAGGAAGACGGATGAAACTAGAACAGCAGTAGTCTAGGTGGTGAGGATATTGGAACAGCTCAAAACTTGTGATTCAAACCAAAGGCGTCTCCCTTTTCAGAGGATCGTAGCTTTTACCTCAAGAGCAAAATAAAAAGGGAACACGTATATAAACCTTAGATGCCGATCATAAAGCCAGTCTCTACAAGTGTGCAGACTCAACTAGCTATTAAAAGTACTCCACCGGCTTTAAGTGCAATCTGAGGGGACTGTGATAGAGGCCAAGCCAAAGCACTCGTCAGAGACACACACAAACGGTAGGTGATTTGAATCACAAGCCCGCAGGCCCGGGGAGCAAAAGTGAGAGGGACAGATAGGCGAAAAGAAATGAGGTCGCTGATTACGCTCGCGCATCCATGTCAAGCACCCTTCCACCGGAAGATGTTGGCGCACGCATTCACACACGTACACACAGTCCCGCGTGATGGAGGTGAGGGAAAACGGGGGACAAAGTGATTGAAATCAGATTACCTTCATGAGGGCACTCGAGTCTTAGATAGACACGCTATACACGCAGGCATGAAACAAGATTTATGTTGTCATTACGAAAAAAACATGAATGAGTACATACTACGCATGAGGGAGGGCCAAAAAACGGAACTTACATGATCATTCTCGTTGGGGATGGCGATAAAGGACTGTAGGAAGGAAAAAAGACAATTATTTACGTGTATTAACACAGAATAGGCTAACATCACTACTTAGACTACGTTTTCGAGAGCTCTTTTGATTATTTCCGGAGCTTTTACGTTAGAAAGCAAGTCCGAAAATAAAGTGACAACGATATCACTGGTACACTATTTAGCATGGAGTAATCATGATGTATTAAAAAAGAGACAGTTATGGTGCTTTCTGGTAAATGGACCATGACCAGTTAATCAGCATGACCGTACAGCACACACGCGCTCGCCCCATTCACACTCGAGCACCAACCACATTCACCGAAACGCACGTTTTGTGCATGTCTTCAAAGTGTGAGAAACGGACAGGAAATGATTGTCCACTTTTTTTGAAATTGTTGTGATGACTGTTTGAAAGAGTGCATGCGTAATAGAGCACTAACTATTACTAACTCTAATCAAGCAAAATCTACTGAGCAACACAAGAGGAAGGCGAGGGGTAGGGGAGTTGGCTAAGAAGACACACGAATGTCTGCTTAGAGATCAGTACAAACCATCAACACTCGATTTGATTCCCCGAGAGGCATGCTCGAGGCGGAGCTAATATTAGCAACCCTTACAGGATAGAGATGCGCTAGGTCACCATTGGGTAAGGATATTAACTAAAATATCATGAAAGATTGAGAAAAAAATGTAAAGATCAATGAAGAAAAATCGTTGACACTTAACCTACCTCAGGTTGTATAAACCTCTCGGAATAGGTTTTTGTAGTCACTACTTGTGTCCGTTTTGTTGTTCGCTTGATAATTTTGCCGTTTTCGTCCTCAATTAACTCAGATTCGATTTTAGGCTCGGAACGTTGGACCGTCTGCGGCAGAACGACACTCGCTTTAAATTCGTTACTTAAATATAAAAGTAGATTCTACTTCACACACCACTGTTTCACCGACACCACTGTTCAAGGGGATGGGGTGTTGGCGTCGGCTCGGGCTCAGCTGAATACCATCGATAGCATCGGCAAGCTCAGTGTGATCCCCGTTAGTATGGTAACCGTTGCCCATGGATGGAGTTTTTGGAGCGACCCGTTTGGGAGGGGGGGAGAGGACGGATGTGAGACCGGGCATGACAGGCACAGCGCCGGCCAGGTGGAGGCGAGGGGCCACATGCGCGGTAGGTGATAAATCATCCTCTCGCCGATCCACGGAGGGCTTCATTACCTGCAGAAAAAATAGCAATACCAAACTCGCGTGATTGTGGTACACTTGTAGCTAGTGGAGTCGACGGGAATAATAAGGAAATGTCGCCAGGCATAGCTACAAGCCAACTGTCCCCATTGCGGTCTAACTTCCTTCTGCATATGCTAGTTTTTCTGAAGACTTCGCAATCAGTACCACCTCAACCACTGAGTAAGATATCGGATACGGCCAAAAGTAATAGTCATCCAAAGTTAATGGATCATCTCGATAAGTTTCAACATGTAGACAAAAAAAAAACAACAGCTAGTTATCCCAAGTTCCTACAATTGGTAGAAATCGAACCCATCCAGCAGGCCACATCCCACTGGAAACGTAACATCTCTAGGTGTAGGTCACCTTTCGTTGCATCTATGCGCATTTGAAGCGTCACCTGTTTGAGAGGAGAATGGAGTAGTTTTGGTGAAAATGGTCTGGTAAAGTTCCATAAAAGACGGACTATAAAAAGCTAAAACGCATTAAAATAAAACTCTTAGTTGCAGTGTAGGAGTCGGCAAATTAATGTGTGTCCTGAAAAGAACAGAACAGTCACTAGACTACCACCGAAAAATCTAGACAGAACTTAAGTATGAGTTAGATTCGCAAAAAATGAAGGAATCAGGCACTTTAAACAAAGTGAGGGTGAAACACGACGGGTGAAAAGTACTAACAATAACTAGATGTACACTAACGTAGCTTGATTTTAAGCATTCTGACTGGGTGCATGAGCGTGTTAACTCGACTGAAAGTATCCGCTCCGATGCCAAAAAATGGCATAACCTTCTTTTGTCAACCGTAAAATGCGTGTGGATACGCGCATACTTCAGGCCATCAAACGAGTGTCATTTGTCAAGTCTGGACAACCAACCATCGCAATTTTCTGCAGCTGCTGCAGTGATAAATCAAGATTAGTAAGCAGGGAGGAGTGGGGTGTGCCCTTTGGTGGATTTTGACCCAAGCAGGAGAAACAATGACCCTAGCTACCAAAACATCAGCTGTGGCAACAAAGTGACTGATTATTACCAGCTAATAATACTTTCTTTGAGTGTAACTTAACTACACGGACTCTGCCGACTTCGTGGGCCTCGCTCACCATCGTGGTGTCATGACGCTTCACCTGTACTGCTCCCGTTAACCATCCACTTGCAGAAGCAAAAATAAAAGAAGTCTCGGTCGTAACGAAGCATACCTATCTCGTTGCTAGTTAAGATGAAGGTTCAATTAGGGTGAAAATAAATCAGAAAGTGATGCACAGTCAAAGAAGCAGGCCTTGGTAATAGTTATCGGCAGCGAACGAGGAACGCCCACTGGGAGTACATGAATGCCCAAATAGCGACGGCACCGACGGCCAAGCGAGCTGGAACGCACGTGACTACTCATGGGAAAATAGACCAAAACATGACAACAGTTGGTCACGGCCAAGTGCCTTTGGCTAGCTGCGCTAGGCTTTGCAACTAACCAGTCAATTGGCAATCTGTGTGCCTTCTGCCACCGCCCAAAGATCTGCAAAGAGATTGAGGGATCACAAGTTTCTTCCACTACTTGTTGCGCCAACAAAGAAATTAAGGCAATCACACAAAACTGCTTAATCACAAAAAAAAAAAACAGAAAGAAGAACTAACTTCGCAACAAACTGACTACTCTTCTAGCATCCAACTCCAACTAGCCATCCCTATTACCGCATTGCTATGGTACTTTGTCCTCCGAAGTTCGTTGGAAGAGGTAAGACACCGATCTCACCTCATCCATCATAAGGTTATCTACTTTTTGACTGCAGATTAGGTCTAGAGGAGTAAGCTAGCTACATGCTACAGAGAGACACCAATAGGACTATTTTAAGTCATTTTATCCCAAAAAAGAATATCAAACACACAAGATCCTACCAAAAGGCAACAGGGTGGACTGATCAAACTTGGCGAAATGAGTGTGGAGAGGGGAATTTACGACGCCAGATGTGTGGGACGTGCATGTCGGCGCTAACAGTCACACCCACACGCCTTTTTCGTTGGAAAGACCTAACAGATGGTCCCAATAAGGAAGTACCGTGCCAACACATTCACTGAATCGCCTTCGGTGTGCACGGCAGATCGTAAGGGTGACCCCTGGCACGGTAGACTTTCGCGTAAGAACTAGTAAATCACATGCACAACAACCAGAACGTCAGTTCATAAAATTAATCGCCTCGGGACGAATGCTTCCCACGATATAATGTTCGCACCATTGTGGCCGTAAACGGTGCACCTTACTCTCCCTGTGCGCGCTGAAAGTGATGGGTTTGGTTTTATGCCGACTGATGACGACGCTCTGATAAGTAGGCTTGACTCCTCAACTTAAATCTCTCCTCTTCATTCAGCACAATCCCAAATGGCTGCTCGGAGGTGTTATAGGTCATGTAGTTGAAGTTTCTAACAGCATCTGCTCCCACCAGCAAGAAAAGGGCATTTTTTGGCTGGTAAAAAAAGTCCCAATAAAAAGTGCATGAAACACCTTTTCAAATTGCTTAAGGCAGTTCAGATTAAAATATCAAGTCTTTAACTGCGAAACCCAACAGCATGACGAGACAATTAGTCTTACCATTAAGGAGACAAAGACATTAAATTGGCTTCAATGACAAATAGTCCATTGCTGGACATTCCGACGACTTTTCAAAAACAAAACATGTACACATACGACTGGCACATACACCCAATCCCCACGGTTGGCCGAGAGAGCGAAGGTGGTAATTAATTTTTACGGATGTGACTCACCGTCTTGGCCTCCGAGATGCCGACCTGTGGCTCGATGTAGGACCAACCCCTACGTTTGTACTAAAAAGGGGAGAAACATAGGATGAGGTGGGGTAAAAATTGTAATTACTGGACAGAGTTGGAAGAAGAAGAAGCTTCATGACGTACCATTGGTCCAGGACGGCTGGTGACCTGTAGATTTTCCGGTGCAATGTAGCTCAAAGGAGTCCAGTCAGGCTACAAACAATGAAGAATTAAAAGGTTGGATAATAACAGACACTGAAATGCGCAGTTCAGATAAAACTAAGAATCGGCCGCTTTTAAGTGATGTAAGTTGTCTGGTGGAAGCAAATAAAAATAGATGGCACTTGCAAGGGATGAAAGTTGTTAGGTAATAAGTTGAGGTTAGTTGGGTTAGTGTAGAGGGCGAGGGGACAAACGAGAACGTCGTGACCTGACTCGGCTTCAGGCGCATAAATGTATGGGCACATAAACCACCCATGTGGTGTAAACCACCACCGCCACAAGAGAAATCGGTGAAAGAGTAGTTTACAGCCACAGGGAGGCAGAATTCACCTATTCATTCACTAGGCAACGCATACTTGTATTAAACACATGTGAATTGCGACTACGACACTAGAACGTAGCAGTCAGTCGGTAGTCGTTAATAAATGGTGGAAGGAGAATACGGTGGAGAAAGTGAGAAAAAGTCGTACTGAGAGTGAGTAATAAGAAGCCGAGTTCAAGTGTCATGCGAGTGAGTCAGCGTCACAATTCAGCCGCACAAACTCATAAAATTGCCGGTTAGGCTGTGCTCGCACCGACGACTTAACTGAAATCTGCCGGTCAGTCATAAATTTGTTTTGGCAACTTCAAGAGACTGACGTCCATTCCACCTTTTTTTTTGTACAGTCTTTTGGGAGTGACGGTCAATTTAAATGACCAATTCCTAGACCGAAATAGGAACCATTTCTACATTGTCCATTTGAAATTAAAGCGAAATACCCATTTTGTGTGAGAAGCCGAAAGGCAAAAACCAAAGGCAAGAATATGGCCTACATGAAACAGAGAATGCGGATACTTTTTATTCTCTGATCGGTTGGGAAATCCAATTAAGAAGGTAGGTCTGCTTAAACCTGTCAGCTACATCACATTTTCGGGAGCATGCACTAAATGCTGTGCTCAAAGCCAGCCCCTGAATAGCAAAAAAAAGCGTAACGCAGCAGTCTGATTCCGAAATTCCAAGTTGATGGGCCTGATAAAATAATTACTGCACTGGCAGCACGTATCACATTCCGGTGATGTATGGAAATGGACATATTTTTGTGGGCGGGGGGATCAAATTTTAAGGTGTTTTTTCTGACCAAACAGCGTGTTCTGTGACAGGCCAGAAGCGGGAGCATTAAATGCAGAAGGCCTGCAGTGGAGTGCAATGTGATGCGAAGAAGGTAATGCCCATAATTGATGATTTACTCGCCCCCTAGTCAAAAACGTCCCCAATTCGCAAATTCGTGGGGTCAGTTTAAATTGAAGAGCTTGGAGATGGATCCTTTAGAAGCCTTGATAGTGAAGTTACCGGATTCCTTCAGGCAATCTGATCAAGAGGGAAAGGGCCAATCGGGAAGTATAGGCATTAATTTCTTCCATCACGATAATCATGGGGAGGGTGCACATCCGCGCATACAGGTAATGTTGAAGCGAAAAAAAAATCACAGTGAGATAACTAAAATACGCCTTTGTTAGCAGTTAGGCAACCTTATTTTCGAAAAATACAAGCGCAAGCAATATAAATGAGTGAACATGAAGCATTTCAACCTCCTTAGGTCCGTTAAGATCCTGGCAGAGTAATGAAGAAAAAGAGATTAAATAGAAAAAAGGCACGATTATAATATTGATGATCATGGCCACGGTGATGACGTATTTTAACAACAAATATTTCACTGTTAATGACCAAACATTATAATAAATCTGAAATCACACAAATCAGTAAAGTTGTGTACACAGGGCGTCAGAAATGTTGTACCTCACAAATAGCGCTGTTCTTAAAGTTCACATTTGAGTAAATGGCTCCCCTCTTAGAGGATATACACCAGTTTCTGGATATTTATTAAGCAGTGGCAAGCCTTGTTTGGATAAACTTGAAGTTTTAATTTCCCTTTGGGGTACTCAATCTCTTTAACCATATGCCTCCATGAGACGTCAGGCTAAATCACTTATGCTAAGGGGCAGGAAGGAGGCGAGAAATCTCACCCCAGGGAAGTAGCTAAACTGCGAGTCGCCAAAGTTAAGCTCCACGGTGCTGTTGTTAAGTGCCACCGTAGGGAAGAAGGCGACGCGTCTGGCAACGGGACTGCCGTTGGCCGCGAAGGCAGTGGCGAAATCGTCGGGGAGACGGTAGGCATCCCCGAAGGGGTGTCCGTTTTTCGCCCACCTAACGGTGCGTTGGGTCAGGTCCAGGAAGCAGCCTATCACATCGTCCTCGCCAAAGCTCTGCAGCAGAAATGATAGTACCGCTTTAGCTTGATAAGTCCAATTTCATACCTTCCAAGCCATTAGTACTCCAGCCCTATCTGTACGTCCATTACAAATCCATATTCTTATACGTATTCCCTATTGCGTTTCCACTACGCGAGCATCGTGGACAATGAGGAAGGAACGGATACTTAGGAAGTTACGTTGATCTGTAGTAGGAAAGCCCATTATGAATTTTGAAATACGGGCTCACTTACGCAAGTAGTCCAAGTAATGAGGTTTATGATCGATTTCAACCGAAAAAATGAACAATCTAACAAAGTCTGTGATAGACTAAAAGTACTTCCGTAAACTTGATATCAAATGATTAAAATGAGCCAGAGGTTACCTCGCCGTAGTTGTCGATTTCGTTATTGTGCATTCGTTTGCCTTGCTGTCCACTGAGACCAAAGCCCTCGCAGTCGGAGCCGTAGCCGAAGCCAAAGGAGTCAGTACCCACCAAAAGGCTACCGTCTTCCGTGGTCCAACCGATCCGCGCAAGACCGTTAGACTCGATCACTCGCGCCTCGTAATAGAATCGACCCTCGCCCCTCACGCCCTGTAAACGAGTACAATGAGTGCTCGCATTAAGCACACTCATTCTGCTTCTGTGGTAAGGTATTCTGTGGAAGCATGGGTTGAAGTCCCACTACCAGGGGTTCGATGGAAAACCAATGTTGGGCTGATCACGAGGTGACAGCAAAAACAGACACAAGATCAATGTCTTCCAAAAAGAGAAAAAAGCCACCCAGGATTAAACAAAAGGCGAGATGGCATTGAGTATTCATCGGGACGATCTCTTCTATTGATTTCGACCCAGTTTGTGAAAAGTCACCGGACTGAAAATCGATGCATAGTTCGGGAAGAAATCGATAAATTGAATTCCTTTGGTAACCTGGATGCAGGACTCGGGGTAAGGCAGGTGACGTGAGTGCAATGAAGGTGGAAACCGGATGAAGGACGCATTTTTTTGCAGCATTCAACCACTAAGAGGTTGGATAATTTCATGCAACTCCCACCCCTGCTGCTCATACGACGGCTTTTGAAACGAAAACGGGACACAGTGACAAAATTGAACAAAGGTTGAACTTTCCACACCACTGTTTACACAGAACTCCAAGTTTAAGCAAAAAAAAAAAAACAAATAGACAAGAAGAAAGTTCAACAAAGATAAAATGGAGCTGAAAAACGAATACAATCCTAAGATTTGTTGTAAAAACATGTCTGTGAATTCGTTGAAGGATGACGTGGGAAACTTGACTAAAGACTATGCGAAAAGCGCCGTGTTTTGCAGACAAACAACCTGATAAATGTAGCGTGGATACTAATCACAAATTACTTCATTTGTCTCCATTTTATTGGGAAGCATATGCTTCAGTTGACAAATTGGCGAATTCAGTAAAATTAGTCAACACGTGGAGAGCTCAGTAAAAGTTGGAACGAAGAACACTGTAGCATCATTGTTCGGGCACGCAGCCAACAGTATAACAATCTGGACATTTATCAGGATATTGTGAAAGGACACCACCACTTGTTCGTACGCAAGTATTATGGTAAAACGCAACGGTAATCAACACCTTTCAAACCCGTACAAGCAAAGGTAACCAAAACAAAGCGCTCCATCAGCCTAACGCTGGAGGTTTAGCCAACAATAATACTCGAAAATCCTGCTCTCAAATCCGTAACATATGCCGAGTTTATAAGAAAATAAGCTCTCGAATTTACCTTAAAATGAGTTAAGAATCGTTCAATGTAAATGAAAGGGTCAGTAAAATTACTTAAAGTGGCGTAGGTGGTCCTACTTCCAAGAAAAGGAAATAAAAAGGGAGATACGTCTTAAAATTAAGTAATGTCTATGAGAGAAAGATTGACGGTCAACAATATTTGAAACGGCTAAAACGACTTTCACGAATGGGATACAAATGATCAGTTTTATCCGTTGGATGATGATAATCAGAGAGCACACAAACAATATGATAGAATAGGACAAAAATTGACAGGGTAAACAGGTTTTCATAGCTGAGAGTAATGAAATTCAGGGCCTAAACTTGGATGGTGCCGAATTATTTACAGCATGACATGGACTTTCAATCATGAAAATGATTGAGACCCTGAACTATTAGAGCAAAGTAAGTAAGCAATAGACATTGAACTGTTGCAAATGTATTTCTCTCCTGCAAAACGTAAAGTTGGGTATTACCATCGACTGATTAATGGGGAATGTCATAATACTGCCATTTTTAAGGGATAGACACGAAAAAGTACTGTACCATTAAGCTGTCAGGGTTTTAAGTACGAAAAAAAATATGACGATTCGACGAGCTTTGAGGATTAGTAAGCCCATTAGAAAACGAAACACCACCGATAGCAAAGTTGGCGGGAGAGACCACTATAGACGCTGGTAAAGTTGAAAACTGGATGCCATTATTATCAAATTAGATAGAAATATTAGATAATTCTAAACCATTGAATCATCAGTAGACTAGGTGTACAGAATATTAACAAGAAAACAGTTAGCAAAGCGCGAAATCGGAAAGACTAAACATGGGACAGCCCTAACAACCAAATTGAGGTCGTCTTTATAACGGAATGAGACAGAAAAATCGAAAGCCAACTCAGTTTTCGGAATGGATAATTAAGCAGTTTACATCAGTGAGACCTCCTGTGGGAGCCAGAGAAAGATGGGAATAAGCTAATGAAGCAGATTTTGAAGCGGATACCGCCACTAGTGAGTCAGAAATGCAACACGGAGCAGAATCGAATAGAGAGAATAAGACTGGGGGAAATGGAGGAGGGCTGGCTCACCCTGTTGGCACGACAGCCCTGCCAACCGGAGCCCCAATGAGCCTGCACGGCCATGCCATCGGGTCGGACCTCCACACCCGCCGTGGCGTCGTAGGGGTTAAGGCGCCAGCCGCAGTTCTCGTTGGTCACCTGAGCGTCCTCCACTACATCGGCTAGTGGGACGAAGCCGCCACCGCCGCCACCGCTGCTCGTCGGTATAAAGCGCAGAGGTGGTGAGGTACTACCACCAAAGTTCAGTAGCAAACGCGAGTCTTTCATCGAGGCGGCTGGAAATCAAGACAAGTGTCAATGTATGGAGCATTCAGTTCATCAGGATTGTTAAAAAGCCCTCCCATGCAGATCTTTACAATTCAAAGCTCTATTCTGAAGACTAAAAAACTAATGTAATTCTAACAATTAAAATGTTAATTACAGGTGTTTAATCAACTTCTGCACTGATGAGAAACCGACATTCATAGAAAAAAAGGTTAGATCTGATCACCTACGACATGTTGCAGTAGAAAGGTAAGACCAGTAGCCACACATCTTGAAGGAAAAAACGCAGCTCGCCCATTCGTCTTTAACTAACAATGTAACATTACAAGAACGCTTTAAGGGGTGAGGCTCATTTCAAGTTCTCTTCGACACGTCATCAAATCATGAACGTTTTTGACCATTGAGGACTTGATTCTACACATAAAAACGCCTTAACAGGGGTATGCCACTCGAAGCGTTTGACATCTTGGATTGGCCATGCCTTTGGCACTTCCGATCCTCAACCATTATCTCGAACGGGAAAACGTCCAAAATAGAGTAAGACCTAGTTCACTAAGGTTGGTAGGAAGTTAACTTCTTTAAATCTTTCAAATTTATCACCTCATTTTGATGATCAGTAAACAACCCAACAAATCTAGTAGATGAAGAACTATTTCTGAGTGTTTTTGAAGGCTGATTACTGCCCCAATGAGCGGTCTGATTCGGCTATTCACCTGCAAGAACTGGAAATAAACAATCGTATTCGGCTTTTATCCTTTGTAGCAGTAAAAGGAGACTGAGAAGCATATTTTAACGGAGGAAACATAACAAATATTCACACCAACAATCAAGTTATCCAGGAGTCAAATTAGACATTCTGAAGACTTAAATCCACTTTTTTCAATAAACTAATCACAGTTTAATGATTGCCAGATCCTCCTACTACTAAACTGAAACGATAACAAAAGTTGTGCTACTTTTACAGATTGCAAATTCAAGAGTAAGACTTCGACTGCATCTTCAGAACTTCTGTTTTTTGTTTTTAAGAAGCATACTAACGCCTCCTGTACTTGTCTACACTTGAATTGCCAGTAAAAACTATTGTTTAACACGATCCAAGTGGCGACCGTTTAAACAAGCACTTTCGACGCTAGATGACCCCACAGACCTGTGAAACACCCCTGCTTCAGGTCAATCGATCTTGAAAATTACAGGGTAGTGTGATCATTCTAAGGGATGAGGGGACAGGGTTTACTATGGAGTCAAATGAATTTGCCCAAGAGAATTGTCCAATTTCAAGAAAACACTTTTCAACCTTAGTGCATGCACGGCCTCAATTCTGGTCAACAAATGTCTCGTAATCCGAAAGCAGCATCGAATGCCAGTAATTCTGCGCATGGTCTTGAAGCCCAATCTAGTGAAATCAAAATTTCTATTTGGGTGTACAGAAGAGGAGGGAAACAAGGTCAAATCTACAAAACCGTGAAGTCAAAAATATCCTCCACGAACGGTCTTCAAAACAAAGGGCGCTTGTAATTCTGCGCCTACTTTAACATCAGACCCAAGGACAGACCCGTACTTTCAAGGTAGTGATAAGAAAAATAACCATTAACCGTAATCGTCTCTAAGGTGTGCAAACATGCGAAAAGACAAACAAATAACAGCACTACTGTAAGAGATCGAATCACATTACTAATACTGTTCTTACCAGGAAAGAACGGTTCATTGATGAGGTTCTCGGGGATCCTAAGGACCTGGGGACACTCATTTCCATTGCAATTCCAGGTGGCGATGCCACGATCCAGATCGAGACAGCACCCGATGACGGTACCCTTGCCGACAGCAATGCGGCCATCGGAAACGTCCACCTGCTTGCCCTTGAAGGTGAGCGTGGCGGCTCCCTGTCCGCCCTCGATGTTGCCAAGCACAAAGGCCTGGTCGTCGCAGCCTAATGAGGTTAGACCTGCCTCGTTCGTCGCCCAGCCTACACCCACCGGTCCGTCCTCGAGGACCGTCGCCTCGAAGTAATAGCAGCCCGGCGCCTTCACACCCTTGTTCGCGCGGCAGCCCTGATGGGGTGGATTGTAAGTGTTGTTTTCAGTCTCCGCTTTAACAGCATGTGTTAACCTAATCTATCGCGTAGCGAGGTCCGCGTTATTGAGTGTATTTACTGTAATGAAGTTATTTCGAAGCATCTACGCTAAGAACTAACAATAAGCATGCCTCTAGGGTTAGGGCTGTGGTAAGCTTTAGAATAAAAGGCCACGGTTAAGGAACAATTGCTGTGGCACCTATGAATAGTGGTAATTAGATAAACTAATGAAGTTTTAGCAAGAGCTCTGTGTTATGTGAACAATGAAATAGGAGAGGTTGCTGAATACCGAATGGTTTTAGAAAGACACAGGCGCATTTAGAAAATAGAAGGGGGCAAAGGAATCAGAAATATTTGCTCGTCGAAGAGGACTAAAATCGAAGATGGGAACCTTAATTTGGTTTCTTCATAAAGACAAAAGCGCAATTACTTCATAGCATCGGACACAGCTCCATGTAAGAAACCCTTCATTAACCTTTCTTGACTTGAAAAAACCCTCTAACTAGCCGCAGAAGCTGATGAAAAAATGAGGAAATTGTGTACTTGTTGGCTGTTTATGCTCTTTCCACAACCTATGCTAACAGCCTGTCGATCCTCATAAAGGAATATGATAAAGCGAGCTCCAAGCAATTTCAAGGAAAGCTCGCGCGTTAATGGTAACAGCGGCGGCGAATCCACCGTGATAGGAGAAGCAATCCGGTTTCACACCGGCTGAACAGCATAGCAAAAAGTCATGGAGTGAATCCATCTGCTCTGGATGAGTGAACCTGCAAAAAATTAACAAGGCGGCTACAGCGTTGGCAGGGTACAACTACTCGAATCTTGAGCTCTGTACGGTGGTCAGTCATAGGTCGAGACAAATTTTGAGGGAGTGAAAGCCGTCTTAAGGCACTACCAACGATATTGATACGAGCACAACGATTTGCGTTCATGATCCGAGGATATGATATTTCCTCATGCTGTTTTTTGGCAAGTTGTATCACGTAAAACGATCGGCACATGGGATGCCAGGGATGTGGAACACCGTCCAGCCTTTGAGACTACCTCCTAAAAGAATGTCACGCAAATAAACAACAAACACGACTATTGGTGAAATACGGAGCAATCGCATTATGATACATTTTCATGATATTATCGTCATTACCATCTTGCAGCTGATCACAGTTCACTTGAGGGCCTTTGACTACTGAAACAGAAGAGTGAACTTGAGGAGCACTGGAGGAAAGCTACACAACAAATAAAACTCATTTAAATTACATATTTAATTACACGGGTTTTTTTAGGCTCCCGTAAATCAGCTACCACGGTGGTGGCATGCACCTGCGCTAATAGTCTTCCGGAAGACAAAAAGCTAACCCCAGCTACCACAATGAAATGTCAGGAGATTTAACCTAACCTGCCACCCGGAATCACGTTGCGAGGCAATGTCTAGTCCACGATCATCGATGCCGAGACAGCGGCTTCGATCAGCGGTGGAGATACGCCAGGGCTCGGGCTTGAAGATGGGCCGCGGCTGATAGTTACCGAGGTGGTTTGATCCATCCAGACCGCGTCTGTAGGCGGCCCCAGCAGGCATTTCACATGCCGCCTCCCCACCGCCCCAATGCTCGAAACTGTAGCCGACTCCATCGCCACCCAAGGAAGCATCACTCGCTATCTGTGGCGCGTACTGGTACTGAAATGCGTCCACTGCGTATGTGGATGCTAAATAAAGCAATGAGAGGGACATGGAGATAAGTGAAGGCTTGTGAGTACAAGGAGGTCAAGACGGGCTTTCAAGACAACTACCGAACCAATTTCCCGCGGAAAGTCCCACCAATGTAAGGAGGCGAGTGTTCAACTGATAATTAATACTAAACTATATCAAACTGAAAAGTCACAAGCCATCACTAGTTTGGCGTGAAGAAAAGGCCGAGGATATTTGTAGAGAGCTCTGGTGCGGCAGGTAATACCTAAGATTTTGGGAAATGGATAAAACAAAGACCGTTCACAATTTCGTGAGACAAAGCGCAGGAAGAAGAAGAAGGGAAGTGATTAAGTTGAATGGGCAGAAAGAGCTACTATTATACCCTACGCACTCCAGCCAAATCTCAAAAGGGAAAAAACGGAAGTAGGGCTGAGAACTGCGCCTTAGACTGATTGAACGTGGTTTCAGCTATCACGCAAAATGCAGCGTAATGCATGGGATTGTTCTAGCACAACATTTGCCGAGGCAAAAAACCCGACCATTGATCGTCCACAGTCTGGCTGGTTAAAATTTTACCCCAAAAATGGTGGCAGGAGGGCCAAACAACCGATTTAAGGGAGGAGAAAGGTAGGTGGATTAAACGTTAAAGCAAGACGTCCGACCCCAAACAACTGTCCCCAAGTCGATGTGTATTTACGTACCCATCAATAAGGAAGCACTTTTTATAAAACAATCTCATTATGATTGAAAAGCTTGATTCGGAAACAGCCAGTTCATGAGATAGGAGGACTTCATATGACAGACGGAATTTTAACTACAAGTTTCGTGCAATTCAGATTTGGGGGAATCGGTAGATTGAACTCCCACTAAACGAGCACCTTGAAAGAGGTAAGCAGGTACCCCGCGGAAGCGTATGACGCCGAAGGAAAAGGAAAAGATATCAGAACTCAAACAATTAGGCGATATTTAGAATAGGAAAGGCAAAAAGAAAGGATGGATGTTTCTTAGAAAGAGGAGAAAATGTGGCAGAAACTTACGGTTTACACCATGAGGCAGAGTGAACCAAGCTGAAAAGCGAGAAAAAGAACATTACTTCCCAGCCGAGAGCAGTAGGCAAAGAGGAATTAGCGAATACATTCAAAAGATATCGTGTTGGTATTTTAATGAATGTGTAATCGCACTTTTATGCCGAACAATAGTGACGGTTTAAACTTTCAATTTGGTTTGAATTGACAACAGCTTGATTCAAATGCAGTAGTGAGACCTAACTTATAAGTAAATGATTGAATTAAGTACAGAAGACACCCACAATTGGGTAAGTTAACACAAAAAAACTGAGACAATTTGGCAGAATTTAATTCGTCAAATTTTAAGAGGTTCATATTCACACAGCGTTCTTTGATAATCATCGAAAATAATTTTGAGTGGGTCTCCCTGAAACCTTGCACAGCCGGGAGATTTTGTGAGCTATTTAGATTGTAAGCATGCAGAATAGAGCTGGTATTTCATGCCATTGAAGCAAAATAAAGTGTTGGTCGGCAGTGCTACCAGTCTGAGAAGAAGGAGCACTATAAGCACACGGAATAGCGAACTTTAGCGAAGTGACAGTTTGGCCCACTTAACATAATTTACTTCCACACTGAAGAGACACCGAATGAACTAATTATAGACGTATTATGATAACACTTAAGGGACGAGTGAATGAGGGTGAATCAGGAGCAGGAGGTAGCTCACTCTGGTCGGTAGAAGAGATGCGCTTGCGCTGCGGCTGCATGCGACGGATAGCGGGTTGGGGCCGATGACTGGGCACAGCCTCGGAACCGGTGAGGTCACCCAAGGAGTTGGCCATACCCGGCTGGTTGTAAGTGAACTTGCGGCTGGAGAAACCCGGAAGCACACTGGGCTTCCGTGAGTGCTCGTAGCTACGCAATCTGAAGGAGAGCGAAAAACCAATTGAAAATTACTTCAGTTCAACACGGATTGTTGCAATGCAGCAGAATAACGTTATCATACGTCGTGGATCTATTTCAGTGAACATTTCTATCAGCAAGGTGCAAGAGGACCTCAGCCAAGACATCCAGAAATTACTGAAGGCGCTTCTTTCCTGGAAGTGGCATCCACCTCATATGCACCGCATTAACGCAAAACATTTCCACCAAGATCTAACGAAATAAAAGGTAATGCCAAGGCTTGGTCATTACCTCCTCTCTCCCTCCTTTACACACCAATCATGCTTATAGCGGGAGTGTGAAATTATAAAATTGTGAACTTTATGTTACCAAACATTTGTCACATTTATATTTGATAACTTGATAACCCATGCTGATAAATGATACCAAACCGTGTAGTGTTACAGTGACCAGGTTTGCTATTCGGACGAAAACACGCGTCGTGTATGTCATTAATACATAAAAGGTGCATAAATGCTTACAATGGTGATGCAGTAAACATCTTTATAAAAAAAGTATAATCGAGAATGCTACATCCACTAACTTAAAGAGAAATTGCTGAAGTTCATCCACTTTCACTTATAAGATAAAAAAGCAGTAGTTTAGAACTGATCGATAAATTTATTAGCATTGATAAAGAATGCCATGAGTTGAAGGACCAATAATATTTGTTAATGAAACCCCAAATATCATTCCTTTTAAAACAAATGTTAAACGGGATTACAGGGTAATGATAAATCATGGACTCAAACTAAATGAATGTACGAAATCGGGTCAAACCAAAGGGAGCTGGTAAACAGTAAATACATGGATAAGTGTACACATAAAACTGCGGCAGAGAAGGTCATTATGTTTCAAATGTTGTACTTCAACGGATGAAGACCATGCACATCACCATCTACCAAACAACATCTTCAAGGACAACTCAGGTGTTACAATGTGTCAGAAGTCAATTAGCTACGACAGAGCCACAGGAAATCCACCGTCAGTTAAAAAATCTAGCTCAAGAACATTATCACAACTTATCTAACATCGCAACTCCATACCATACGTAAGGGAATAGATCAATTTCAGCCTTTTACGCTGTGTATAAGACACACACTTTCCAAAAAACTATCAATGACAATGTGACAAACCTTGCCTATTACACAAGGCACATGGCACCTACCAGATGGTGAAACAGAGTTACCACCTGTCTTAGGTGGCAGAAGTGAATTTGAGCATAAAACCAAAAAAGGTGATAGTGCTCTTGGCGCATGTTAAAACAACTTTCCTCCAAAATTCGTCAAGTCACAGAGAGGAACATAGAGACATGACCAAACAACCGATCAAAAAGCCTGAGGTCGAAATTATCGGTCTGCATGTTGAATTTCAAACCAGTGAATTAATCGACTTCGGTAGTGATTAAGCAACTAATTTCTCATTTCCATGGGATGAGATTATGCAAATCGTTTGAAACGAGAAATTTGAACACAGGAAAACAACGTGTAAAGTACGACAAGCCCCAGAGAAGAACGTGGAAAAGTGGCGCATGAATTAGGTTCCACTAACAACAAAGGCCACAAACATGTGGGGAGGAAAAACTGTAGATTGGGTCTAAAATTTCAGTCGTGTTTTTTGTGCAAATATTTTTCTTCTGAAAAAAAAAAACACGCAACCTTTTCTGATGGGTTGTGAAAACACGGCAATCCTCGGTAGTAGAGACAATCAATGACATTTTCTACCGTCCCTCCTTTGGGCAGTAGATATGCGGTGATAGAGCGGTTGAAAAGTCAACGAAGCTACATTCTAAACAGCGAAAGCTTGACACTGTTCAATCAAGCATGTTAAACTGACTAGTCAGACACCTCTTAGTGCCCACTGTGGGGATTATCGTTGTAAATAGACGTCGTCTAAACAATAAAAAACGCATCGGTTGCGCATGGGGAAACAATAAACCAGGATTAGAATTGAAGAAGCTAGAAGATACAGAAAAGACCGAGTAAAGCTTTAAAATTTAACGTACTTCGACGTTTCTGATTCCAATAGGTGGTCAGAAGTACATTAAAAGTAGGAAGGGAAGAGGTCAGTAGGAGTTTACTGTGCAAGACGAAAAAACATTACGTAAATAAAACAAAAATCTGGAGATTTCGAGACAGGTCTGAACAGGAGTCAAGTAAGTTCCGCTCTGCCAGCCACGAGGTGAGGGGAGAAAACTGGAGGGGAAGAACAACCATTCCACCAATGACTAAAGCCATCACGTTTTTAACTTATTTACCCTTCACCCTGAGAGGAAACTTAGTGAACACTTAGCAAACTTGGCGCATATTTCAGACCGGGCAAAAAAATTTGTTTCCAGCATAGAAACCCATTTAGATGCTTTGTCGCAAAGATAGAGCCAGACCCTACACATTATAGCCATTTAGGCATTAAGAAAAATTGTGCCACACACGATGAAATAATCTAACAGTTAACTAAGTTTACCACTAACCCAAGTTCCGATGCATATGATGACTACTAACAAAGGCAGTTGGCAATTAAGAGTTCATTGAGATGTGAGTAGAAATGGTCGTTACATAAGATAGAATAGATTTAACTAAAACACCGAAGAATCGCAGTAGGAAAATAAGAATAGATGACCATTGACACTCGAGCGAAGACGAATGCATTATTAATTCAAGTGCTTTGTGACCAACATAGTCACGAAATAGAGGAGAATCATGACATCACTATTGTTATGGATAATGGAAAGGTAAACTTCACGTGCAATAAGAAGGTAAGCGACTACTACCACCGTCGGAATTGACGGCATTTCAGCAAATAAATTGTTATCACCTCAAGCATTATTTAGGCTCAGTTAAGTGGAGAATAAACATAAACGAAAGCGAGACGAATGGATGAACACGTGTTGTTACCTCAACAAAATAACGCGGTTTTCAGCAACAATTGGGAAAAGCGTACACTTTCAGTCACATGACAAAAGGGTTTCATCCAAAAGATCGTGAAGGAATCATGTTTAAAATAGGCTGGATAATTTAAGCCAAGGATACATTCAATACCAAAGAGGTAGTTATTCATCCGGACAGCCAGCAATCCTCACGGGGGCAAAATTAACGACTACCTTAGAGCCACTGAAATCGAAGTAGAATCTAAATGGCCGGAAGTGAAAAACATTGCGGGCACGTGATCAAGAAAATAACAGCCAGGAATGTGTTTTGGTACCTGATTTAAGACAATCAAAACTTAAACGTTTGCCAAAATACAAGGATTCATTCATCTGAACACAGTAACATTAGTGGACGTCTAAAGGAAGAATGGAATAGATACCCTGATTCTAGAGGCAACCTTTCTTAAGTAATACATTCCATGAGTAATGTACGTATGACGATATTAACTAGTAGCTCTATAACAGACCGATATTTGTTTAAATTATGTGAGCCCCACAAATAGACTGCTTACAGTCTCTCAGACTTTCCATAGTTTGCGAATTTAAGAACAATCTTTCTGAAGTAATTGTATCCATGGTTGAGTATAATGCAGGGAAATTGAGTCACTCTGCAGGAAGAAAGACATAAGAAAACACCGTGCTAAGGTTTAGTAGATGATAGCTTGGACTAGGGTGGATTTCACCCTAGATATCCCAAGGAAAAATCAAATGCACGACTACGGAGGAAGTTAAATTTCAGTAGGCTTTTGCATTATAAAGCCTTGAATCGAGACAACCATCAAACCATTCACTTAAAAGGAAAAATATCGCGAATTAGGATTTCCAGGTTTCGATTACATAAAACCAAAAATAATAGATAACAAACGGAATACCTGTAACTACTGCCTCGCGAAACAAGGGACCCATTATCGCAAACTGAACAAAGGTATATGGATTGAAGCGTAGCACTCCACATAGATCAAATAGAGGAGATGGGAAAGGACGCACCTGAAAAAGTTGTGATGTTCCACACAGAGGGTCCAGAGGCGCTTGGCGCGCTGGGGCGTAGCACAGCGGAAAGCGTAGGTCCGCTCCGACTGGTCTTCATCGAGGGAGCGCACAATCATTATGAAGTGGCGTTTTCGGTAGGATAACTTGATGATCCGTGGCCACGAGAAGCGCTGCAGCCGAATGCGGCTCAGATAGAGCAGCAGACCCCCGTAATACACACCAAGGCCGTGCTCTACACCTGAGGAGCTCTGGGCGCATACAAATACAGCAGTATTTAAGCATAATTTTACATCCATCTAATTCAGATGGTTAAACGATAACAAATGAGAATAAAAGGAGTGACGTATTTTAACTCTAAGCAAGTCAAACCTACAACCATAAAATCCAACGCAAATCCACGTTATAATGACTTAATAATCAAATGGATTAGCGAAGATATTGAAAATGAAAAGAATGACCAAAACGAATTAAACGCGTTTTCATTGGTTAGGGGAAAAGGGACTACGTCGATACAAATGAAGCAAAACTGTCAACCATTGATAATGTGAAGCGGAGATTACTGAATACGCATATAGCGATAGGATACAAGGAACTACTCAATGCAGGGGAGCTAGACAAAGCGATGGGTTTATGGGCTCATTAAAGTCGCGCGAACTTCACAATTTTTCACTCACGTACTATCTCAAACAGTAACGTGCCAGTTTAATCTCAGATTCACAAAATATTCGGCCCTAGCATCAAGCAAACAAAAACAGTGGCGCCAGCACTTTACTTGACCGAATAGTTGTTATATAAAGTCAAATACTAGTTGAATTCGAATGATCCCATTCGATTTACCGCATCAAAGTTGAAGCTGTAAAAAACTTATACAAGACTGTATTAAATCACTAACGGTACAAGCTATGAAGGGGAATCCAAATTGAAAACGTAACTGATAGGAAAAACACGAGAGCACATAATGCGTTCTAACTGGTGTGAACTGAAAAAAGATTGGACAAGATCACGTATTACAAAACAGTCTACCCGATCTCCTATCAAACTGACATTTCAAGTGGAACAGAAGTATGAACTGCATAAACTCCCGCCAAATTGCTCGCCAAAAAAAACAGAGTGGGAGGGAGGGAAGGAGGGGAACATTGATGAGGAAAAGTATATTTTGCGCGGCTAAAAGTAATGCAACTTCTGACACTGATCTGTGGCAGAACTTGGAGAAAAGGCAAGGAGATTCTCAACTGTACTAAAGTGTCAATGCAGCACTAAGGTAGCAGCGATTTCCAGTTGTTTAGACTTCGCGAGATCTAACACAAGTTCCAAGAAAAGCTTATGTCCAGCTGTTACAAAACCCGGGTCTCTGATAAAAAACGCACCCACTTACCAAAACTTTGTGCATGTGAACACCGTAAAGGGCGAGTTTTTTGGAGTTGTTGAGGAAATTCCGATCTGCCATTTCCGGCGATTGGCCACTGAAAAAGTTAACAGGAGGCAGTAGCAGCAACAAGGGTAAGTACTTTAAGCAGTCCATCCGTTATCACAACTATCCTGCTCACAAACACTTAAGTCAAGAGGTAAATGTCATGTAACAAATAGCCTTCACGGCCCGAGGCTTCATAAGAGGCAAGCAAAGGAAAAAGGATTCTTGCTCACATGGACAAACAATAGTGTTGGCGCAACCCAATGCAATCCCTCAAGCGGGTAACAATCCATCCAGCCTACCGGATCTCAGGTGTGAATACCTAGGCTTCAGGCCAAAACGAATAGAGAATTAAATGACTCGACATAGTGGTGCCGTTAACTCCGATGCATGTTTGAGTCACTCCAAGATGAGTAATTGTAGAATGGTTAATGCAAGACTGGATTCGCCAAACATGCAAGCCATAAGATGTCAAATGGAGCAGCACAGGCGGATATTGAAAAGCGTGATTAACATTTGACCTCATATTAAAGTGAAAGGTATTCAGGATCAGCCGAGATCCGTGTGTAAATTTGTAGACCAGGTAGAATATAGGATAGAGTGCGCTACAAAAGCCGTGCCTTTCCACTGCAATTTCCACATATTTTAAATGTTGAATTTAATTATTTCATTCTTGAAGCGCAAACATTATCAAATATGATTGGTAAAAAACAAGATATGTTATCCTGAAACGGATTTATTTCCACCGAGTCTCGATTCAACTAAAGGAATCACTGCAGGGTTCAACAAAGCAGAGCGGCCTAGAATTAACACAGAACTGCCATAGTCCATTGCTATCGGCAACACGATTTTGCACAGTGTAACAATAAAAGCTCAGCTGCTACCAAAAGGGATGAAAGAATAATAGCTGACTTGGCGTGTAAAAAATAGGAAAAAGAAAGAGGACAACTTCGGTATGCACGCCCTTGCCAGTTGCCAAATACAGGCAGAGGAAAGCTTCATCTCATGCACGCCTACAACGAATAAGCACAGAGCCTGCGCCTTCGAGAGGCAGGAGATTTAAGCGGTGTTATGAGGAGAGCTGCATAAATAAATGTCCCAAAAAAATCAAGCGGCAGGCTAAGTGAAGAATAAGTTCGCAGAGCCACATTTTCGTGGTCGGAAGAAGCAGGTGAGATGAAGAATTTAACAATCAAAGAATGAAATGTGTTACGCTTGCCTGGGCCGTACTGAGGTAATAGGCATGTGGATAGAAACAGATTGTAAAGATAGAAGCGCTAGTTGCCACCACATTCGGGGAAATGGGGTGGTTGACAACGCCCCATGTGATTTTTTTGACCGAGAAGCGATCTGATTAAGCAATGTGGCTTAGAAACAATATGACAAAGAAGGGTAATAAGAAGCGTAGTTCGGCAAGTTTGGACAATTTTGCACTAGCCAACCTTCAAGTGATCCCTCAGCTTCCTGTGAATGGATGCAAAATTAACAGGTGGATGCGTAATCATAACGATCTTGGAGCGATTGCTTTGGAATAACAATTAAATGGATCAAAATTAGTTATTCTTTCAATTACAAATTTCTTAGCAAAGGTAATTTCCGATCAGTTCAGTATGAAATCCAGGGTGTTATTCTTAGATGGCATCAGGTACCACTTCGTGCTAAGCTAAAATTCACTGAAGGAGGTAAATTACCAATAGGTTGAACACATTACTAGCCCCATTTCAAGTAATGTACATATCGTAAAAGGCAGCCGATAGTGTGTTCTAGAGGCTCCACCTCCAGTTCCCCATAGTGACCATATTCGTTGCCTTCTACGACTTTAATAAATTGCCTTCCATAAATAAATTTAGCTCTAGGATGAATGCAACACCAACCCTAATAGCTTCCGTCATACCTAGAGATAATTCGGGCTAAAATCTCCCCTCTGCTAAGCACGTGCGGCTCCCACTTTAGGCTCCCTCCTTTCCGTGATCAACAAAGCATGAAATGCATACAAATTACTACCGTGATTTAAATTCTTGACAATAAAACAACCGGGAATGAATTTAACGCCTTGAAGTTCACGGAAGAACGCGGTCATGAGCGCCAGAAGAGGCACACACACTGTTAAGGCACAATGGGCTTATAAAGACCTACTGGTGGAGGCGGTGGGTCTCAGCAATGCGGTAGAGCATCTCGGTGCTCTGCAGATGGCTGGGAGCAAAGGGGTGGTCACGGATGTAGGCGATGCCCTGATGTCGCTTCGGGTCGAAGTCGCCTGCGTCTGATTGCACCACGTAGGAGCCGAGGATGACATAGGAGAAGAAGGAGCACGGCAGTCTGTTGTTGATAGGCAACAAAAACAAAAGGAAACGTTTCAGTCCCCATCCCTCACATCTGTGCGGCAAGGTCCCCGAACACATGACACGGCATTGCCGCATAAGCCCGTGGCTGATCAAAGTTAGATGCTATTTTTGCACAATTGACGTCATTCTTAAGCGTACCCGGTGAGGTCATTTACTAGTCAGGTAAGAACAGGTCCGCTGACCAGTGAAGGGTGAACGACAAGGCAACATGACCCAAAAATGGTAAGTAATATAGATTCAAGGTGGTTGAGTACTTAAGTTAACGAGAAAATAAGACAATGAATGAAGATGAAATCGTGCTACTTATAAATTTTTCGTCGCCAAATTTATCGTCCAGAAAAGAGTGTAAATTTCCGAACTGATGAAAGATAACACTAGAAATGGTTCCAAGGAAGACTAAACACTGGGATTTTTGAATTTTAAAAATTTATTTACAGCTGCATAGTCCACCCCTGTGGCTGCCGGGATGACCTCAAATAATTAATGGCGTCTGAAAAGTTTGCATTCATCAATGTGTGCAATAAGATAACCTTTGGATTTGTTAAAAATTACAGCTGAGCAATAAAAAATACTAGCTTTACAATAGCACCGCTACTAACACAAAATAACATAGTTTATGTGCGGTCACACAAACAAAACACGTGGATTGGATAACTGAAACACTTGCTAAAAGGGTGGCAGGAGGTGACGACAAGGTCAAAATGCGCAGGGACTGAAAAGATGAAAGGAAACGGTGTGTAATGAAGTAGACCACCAAATATTTAGATAAGCAAGGCAAAAGTGAAATGTGAGCGGTAGTGACAGTAAAATCCGAGGCAAGCGTTTCCGGGAGAGACAGGGATAGAGGGTGGTTTAAGTGACAACGGTTTTGCGATGGGAAGGCATTCAACGGAGTGACTCATCAAGGATAAAAGTGTAACATCTTTCGCTGACTTGGGTATTAAGTGGAAAACCGTTTGCTTGTAAATAAAAGGATTGGGAATAGTAAATGGTAAAGTAGTGAAGCACGGAAGTGGCAAAGCATAAGAGCGAGAGATTCCAATAGGTACTGGTGAAGAAATGAGCATAATCGTTTATCCACACAGTTATTTAATGAAAATGGAGTATTTCAAACAACTATAAATTGACCCTACATGTTAACACAGTTAGTATGAGAGAAACGTTCAAAACAGTCGTATGGAGTGGGTGACAAATAACTGGCAATCGAGGCTATGCCCGACCGTGTAATTCTATCCAGTCAATAGAATGCGTACAAAGCGGACAGTATGCTGGTGAATAACACCCACAAGCACCCTAGTCTCAAAAAGCGATTATGAGGACAAGGCTTTGCATGAATTAGATGTCGTCAAATTAATTCAAAAACCCAACATTGACCGGAGGCTTAGTCATCAGGGGGATATGAAGGGACCCACAGTCTCTGCTGTAAATAAATAGGCAAAAAAGACTTTTAAGGCTATCCAATCTATCACCTCCATGGTGTGAAAAAGAGGCCTAGCTTAAGACTGGACCCATGACTGATCAGGCGTCGAATCCCTCAAACCATTGAATCTACAGGAAGTGGTGAGAATGAAGCGTTGAATTCCAAGCCAATCATTCAACTGGAATTCGAAGGAATATGTCAGAACAATTAAAAGTGTTCCCCAGGTACAATCACCGATTTGAGTATCAGACAAGATGGGGATGGTTAAGTCATTTGATTTATTTAGGGGATTGATTTCACCTGTACTGCTAAGGAGTTAGTTGGTAAATTTCAGCGGTACTAACGATGAAAAACAAGGAAACTAAAGGTAAATCCAGATTTTCATGAATGCTAATGAGAGAATAACAATTCAGATTTTGAGGATATAAACACCAACGATGCGTGCTTAGCCGCCACTCCATTCTGGGTTTGAAATTCACTTCTGAAAATGAGAAACAGACCGCTAAAACCCTATCTTCATCCCATTTTGTCTTACTATGATGCAAAAAAAATAAAAAAGTTATGGGAGTACCGTACATGACAGGAAACGGGGCAATAAGTTGGGACAGAAACATCAACACTCACAGACTAATGTTAACTGAGTGATTGTAGAGTTCCGGAAAAGGCCACCGATAGAATAATTTGGGCTAAATTCTGCTGTCTTTTTAATTCCATGGTAGACAGTTATCACGTCAATTGGGATCCGAATTGTAATGCTAAGTAACACAAGGTGAAAGCCTAATACGGTTTTCTATAACCTAAATGAGATGAAAGCCTGGTAATGGAACGGTAGAAAATTACAATTTGAAACATGCCACACTTGAGATTAAACAAGTCGAAGAAAATGCTCCCCTTCATGCTGGCGGTGGTATTACCGCTCTCCTGAGGCAAATTCGGCGCTGACTGAGATTTGGAAAGCATCCTTTGTGCTTACTCTAACAACCGTTGGGCAAAACACAACAGTGCAGCATACACCAAATAGTATGTGGCCCATCCAAAAAACCACTTTTCTGCCAACATAGCAACCAAATGATTCAGCGAAAAGAATGCCCCTCTTTTACGGTGGCATCAGCACAACCTAACACACGTGATCGTTGCGCACCTAAATATCGTCCGGCAGTCGGGGCGCGCCTGTCTGTGAACGCCCCGCATTTTCTACGTCTTTAAAAAGAAGCAACGGTTAAACGCACATCAGTACTTAACAACTTTGGTGATCACATTATAAGTAGATAATTAATTGCTTCAAAACAGAGCAGTGGGCATTCATTCCGACCAGAAGGGAGACAATAATTACATAGTATGAATAGCCTTATTTAGTACCGTGAATGAATTCGGTGGGATGACACTTATCATTGCATTAGAGGAATGTTTATATACAGTCGATATGTGTCGGTGGAATGAAAACCGACTGGTAAATAGACCTCCTAGATCAATGGCACCAACCGAATCGAAAATGAGCCAAAAAGGCAGAGATGGAGGGGTGTCACACATTCTTGGTGGAAAATAGAGAAGACGAGTGAGACCGCTGAGTGCTCACTCGATCACTTCAAAGGCGCCTGTCCTCGAAGATTTGATTATCAACAACTCTCAGCTCTCCGCTTCTCACTACATACAAATGGACACTAAAAGGAGGGCAAATGTTGTGACACCAACTTCAGCCAGTGTCAACATGGATAATAATATCAGCAACAGGAGCGGCAAGTGCTATCAGCGCGGATTAAAAAGAAAATCTTTTCTGGAATGTGGAAGCTCTGCTAGGTTGGATTAAATCAAATATGGAAAAGCGCCTCGAGTGAAATAAAACAGGTTCAAAAGAAGGTACACGGAAGAAACGAACTTTAGATTATTTTCAGCACATGGAACCGAAGTCACACAAATAATTTCTAGGAGATTCAAACATCGAACATTTAGACAATAGCCAGAGAGTTGTCAGCGGGGCTTGAGATCACCTTGGTGAGATTACAAACAGAATGAGCACATTCTGATTACACTGTTGCCTTGCGTTGCATCGACTGTTGCTTTTATTCATTCTTGCGAGGTATATTCATGCTGGTCCTGACCATTCAACCAGAATCTCCTGTCTCCAAAGCTATCGGCACGTTGGTTAACAGCTTCAAGTGCACTTGGCACACCAACACCCTTGCCTGAGTTCAGGGCCACAAATATGTTAGGTGTGTTCTTTGCCAGTTTGTGATAACTGTGGGTACACTATATCGTGAAGCAAACAGATTTGTTGAATGGGGACCGATAAAATCGAGGACAATTTCATTTTTTTGCCTTTGGAGTATCAGCAGCTGAAATCGTTGAAGGAGCTGATGCCAATTGATGGCATATTAGAACAATAAAATATCTGGACTGTGGTAGCGACCCTGGCAACTTTGGTAGCGAGTGCCAAACTATTTGTGCATGTTTTTGGTAGGAGACTAGAAACTAAGCAAATTCATGCCGCCAGTTCCTGACGCCTCAAAAAGAGCACTATCTGAAAGATATACTACCAATAAACCTTACAAGATGAAGTGAAAAAAAGGTTCAAAGGGAGGAATTTTCTCGCGTGGCCAAACGGGTTTCCGGTTTCACGCCGGACGCAAAAGATTTTACTGATTCACACATAATGCTTGGCTCGCAGTCTCACTTGTATCAATTAGGGAGAGACTCCACGAGCCTGGACAGGCATACGAGAAGGAACTCACTGTCCACTGAGGAGGTTCTGACGAACTTGGAGACACAAGAAATAGCGCGTCAGGTCCTCAACTATCGAGTCGATGTCGTAGGGGAAGAATTTGACTTGAAATTCGAAGAGCCAATTCTCTGCAAGAAAAGATTGGATGTTTAAAGCCTGATGTGTTACCAAGGAGGGCCTAGGATTAGCGTAAGCAAGCGCAGCGTTTAGCTTACTTCCGACTTGTTTGGCGACCTTCTTATCCATCTTGAGCCAGCACTGAAATTCAAAAAAAAGTACACAGATGGAAGAACGCAATGTAGCCGTTAGTTAACAGGATACCCGTCATAAAAGGGAATTCGAGAAAGACCCAGAGAGGTTAACCAACGATACGCGGCGATTTATGGACATCGAAAGCTGGTACTGTATGCAGTTACGCACGACCCAGACATTCTAATTAATCATTCCAGAATTCTATTCTTTTACTTGCCTTGACATTTTCAACAGAGTCAAGACAATTCAGCAGTCTGGAGATCGTAGAGCCTGGCATCCGAATTATAAGATATGCATTAAGAATTTTAAAAGCAATAGGCTACACATCAATGTTTATGTGTCAAAGTTATTTCACGTGGGAGTGTGTGCTAAGGGGTGCAGAAAACAGGGTATTGAAATTACCCTGATCTTACTTGCGGCTGAGAAATGACAACTAACACACAAATTGAGGCAAATGACAAGTTGGTCAGGTCTACGCAACAACTGTGTTTAGTGGCGTGGAATTTTGAGGATATACGATTTTATTCAGGCTGAAAAAGTGAAAAATTAAGATTAGCTGATAAAAGTACGGAACCCTTTGTCTGAGGAGCCAACTTCATCCTCTGAAGCGCCTTAAATAAGATAAAAATATCACCGGTGAAAGCTGGACACATTCGGCTGGCTTATAGACCACTTTTATTAAGATGAAATGGCTATAATCCGACTCACACTGGAGAAGTTTCACGGTAATAAAGCATTGATTGACTAGAGATATATCAGAAATTAAGAGAGTCTAGTAATTTATGCAGCACGAGCTTTAGTTTCCTTTTCATAAACAGACTCCGATGGAAACTGTTAATTCAAAGGCATCTCTGGATGCATTGTGATGTTATTCAAAATAAACATTTCGGTCCAAACAGGCTAAAAACTGGACTTTAGGGCCAAGTGGATGACTAAGCACAAAATCGCACTTGTTTACGCCAATAACTGGTAATATGAAATACAGCTGTCAACTGCGCGTGGTACGGATAACAGTACCAAAATGCACCGAGGATTGAGAGAGGGCCAAACCCTTCCCACTGTTGTTTTCACATGCGGTCTTTACAACTGCACATGACCACCAATTCCCAAGAAGGTGTAAGGGGAGTTCAATTTTAATAAACTATAAGGCAGTCAAATAAATTCACGTGGCTTTAAATAAAAATTAAACCATCACCAAAAAACCTAAAGGAACATTTCATTCGTTGAAATAATTATCATTACAAGCAATTACCTGCGAATTACACAACTTCAACACCATCTTGGCCCTAGAATCAAGCAATCTAGACTTGGTCACCCCGTTTCGACCTGTTTTGCTTCCAATCAGGCAAACCCACACGTCCAATGGCAAAAAAGGTGGTAGTCAATGGAAGAAGTGTCAAGCAGAGAACTACGGGGAATGGGGATGAGGCACGACCTCTCACATTTTAACTAAAATGCAAATCAGCCCGGAGATCAGTTTCACAACTTCTTCCAAATGATTGAGTAGTGTTGGCTGACTCTGAAGAAGTTGTTCTTGCGCACCGAATTATACCAAGTACATAGATTTCACCCACAATTGTTTGGCTTTCACCAAGAAACTTAAAGTGAAGCATTTCGTCTGCAAACCACTACACATGAAAAAACCTCCTGAGAATGAAGTGGAGGGGAATAATAGCGCGTGAATGGTTGGGAAGTGGCCAATGATACGCCCATTGGTTTAACGCTGCAGGGCTTTTAGAGCAAACTCTCGGCAAAATGCAGACTTGCTGATTGACTGATGATTGGACAGAGCGTCGATATGCCTGTGAATGTTGACTAACAATAAAAGGCCACTTAAAATAGGACTGCCCCACGTGATCAGTCAAGCTTCCTCAATTCTGGATAGAAATGATATGTCGCAGAAGCATCGTTAGCTCGAAACCAGTTACATGTTAGCCTTACAGCAGTCAGACTAGCTTCAATGGCCAAAACCAAGCAAATTTAAACAACGATGGGTGGCCACTAGGTCAGCAAAACCTGTCGCAAAAACATCATTCCTATGCATAAATTGTAGCAGGTTTTAAATGTACATCCACTAGTTTTGTTACAGTCCCACTAAGGGCATAGTTAATGAAATTATAGGAGCAAGGCTCTTTCAAATAAAGTTGACATCTACAGAACTTCTGAACCATGTAATAGGGTGCATTTAATTGAGCTTTTCCAAGCACTCATTGCATATGCAATCTAATTTTAAGAAGGCGAGAGCAATCACGACCATGAGTTGTAAAGCCGTGACAACAGCCAATTGCACAACTGTTCAAATGCGTGAGTGGAGCAGAGGTGAACCGCTTGCGTGTTCAAAATTTTGCTACTGTTTAAAATTTTCGGTTGCTTGTACCGTGTATTTGCATGAAGCCATCTTCAGTCCATTGATAAGTAGACAAATAGCGTCTGCTTACATAGGGGGCGCCGCGTGTCTACAAACTGTCACAAGCGACCCAAAATGAGAGATACTAACAGTGGCCACGGGCAAGGACACTAAGGCCCTCAAGGACACGGGCGGTGGCGGCCACAAAGAGGGGATGAGCACACGGATATGCGGCATTGGTGAAAGGCCATTTATCGAACGCTTATGGCACCTTGTTTGCTTTTAAGGTCACTGCAGATGTTCAAACCAAACTTGGATGGAGGGAAGGCAGAAGGAAGGGTACTACTTACCATGGTGTTGTCGGGGGCGAGATATTTAATTCCAAAGAAATCCGTCTCCAACAGATCCAAGTTGGCGCAGACAGCGTCAAAAAGCTGTTGTCCGTAGGCCGCTTTCTGTAAGCATAAATAAAATGAAAATAAGCATACCAGTTAATAAATAGGTCGATCACAAACGGTGAAATAACGTAATATAGACGGATTATAAACTTTACTTACCAATAAGCAACTTTAACTAAAAGAGGAGCCATTAATGAGACTTCCAATGTAATTCAATGCTTGCTTAGCACTAGGCTGGTTATAATTTTTTTATTTTTAAACCATCTATAGCAAGTGAAGAAATAATAGTTTCCTGCAAAGATCAGTCCATACGCATACGTTATTTATAAGACCATTAGTAACTTGAAATGTCCAAACTAAAAGATATCTTCGATAGGGAACAAGGAAACAGAGGCTACAAATAGTTGAAATGAGGCACCCTTCGGGATGAAATCGAATTCTGACTTCAAGATAGCAAAAAGTGCTCCAACGCGCTCAAACAATTTTGTACATTAAAGCCATGGTAATAGTGACGAACAAAAATGAAGAGTAGCGAGATTCTAACCATAATAACGGCTTATTTAAAGTTCCCACAAAGAAAAAGTTAAATTAAAGAATTTCTGACTTTTTTATTACCCTCCAATTTCTACATTGAAGAATTGAACGGAGGTACAGAGATACTTCAACTAAAAGAAAGTTCAGTTAGAGAGATGGTGCTAATAATTGAGGCTGGACAACACGCCAAATTCAAGCTGGTAAAAGAGCGATTTCGTAATTCTGATTTACTTTAAATTTTTGACTACTGAAGAACAAGATGCAGATCTGACAGTTGATCTTACTAGCTAGCCGCGAAAAAGGCAGGAGGACTCACATCGATGCTAAACATCTGTTGAAGCCCATCCAACATGATGACGGCACAGTCGACAGACTTGCCGGAGGGTTTGAAATTCGACGCTGAGGTGTTGGAGCGTCCGAAAGTGGCGGTGCGTCCCATGGTGGCGCTGGGGTAAGGCGAGCCTACCGCGGTTACAGGACCGAGAGTGTTGGTCCCACCGCCCCCACCGAGCATCGAGCCGCCTGAAATGCTACCCTGCCTACCAACGGTACCAAAGCGGCGCAGGCTGGTGTAGTATTCGCGCTTTGGCACTGAGTCGGGTACTTCGATTGTGCTGTTGTACTGTTGCAGTGTCGCCGCGCCGCTCCGCCCCGCGTTCTGCTCGAGGTGCACCAGATTGATCGAACCCGCGGTGGTATCACCGTCTACTGACCGACGGCCGGGGGATCCGAGCACGGAACTTCCTGGGTAGTCAAAGCTGTCCTCCTAGTTAGGAGGCGGTGGAAAAAGTTGATCAGAACCAGAAAGAGAGCAGTTTTACGTGCACTCATACCCGCATCTCAGCAGTCAGGAATGCAACGAATACAAGACCGTAAAAGGGATGCAAATGGAACGAGGGCAGTCGACACAGGAAACATGAAGTGGTGGTAATAGCTCAAAAGTGAGCAAAAGTGAAAGTAAAATTACCGGAGTTAGCGAGGAGACTATACTCTAGAAATGGTAAACACAATGAGTTTTGGTAGGTCAAAAGAAACTTCTGACTGAAGTCAAGAACAACACAGGTCCAGCTAAATGAAATAATTCTTCTAGTGAATCATGCGCCCCCTGACACATGCATTATCATAGCCGATTAATAATCCAAAACAGGAGATTAGTCCTGACAAAACGTGCGCTATGGAAAATATGCGTGGATGAAGTGCATTAGCGCATACCCTCCACTGAAGTCCTCTGGGATCTTAGAGATTAGTGGACATAAATTGTCTAAAATCCAAAATATACATTGAAGTTGGTGCCAGAAGCACAGATTCATTTACTGGAAAAGTTAGAAACGCAACCGAGATAAGAAATAGGGTAGAAACAAACAGATGATGTTTTGCTGCCGCCCGATGATTGCTATACAGGGGTAAAGCACCCGTAAACTCTGGATCCTTAAAGGCTTAATACAATGAGTTATACACAGAAAACGAATAATCTCGAGTAAAATAAGGGAATATTAAACTGTACGAGTTAATAATAATACTTAAAACCAGGACAAGCAACGACAGAGACAAAAGGGGAAATAACGGTGGTGATTGGTAGAACTATATTGAATTAGAAAATAAAACTCACCGGAGGAAGAGCCATCGGCACAAACGAATTAAAAATACCGCATGTGAAAGATGAAGCCGAGAAGCATAAACGCCGAAGCGAAAACCAGAATCCGCGATTGGGCTCAGGAAAGAGGTGACAATGCTGTAAGGTCGTAATTGATATAGTTAAATAAATACCTCTAGAATCTTAAATATTATTTAGAAATTGTGTGACCCTACCTACAAAATGCAAAAAATGGCATAATAGGCTGAATTGCGGAATAACCTAAATTTTTTATATCGTTAGTGGGATGACCTTTCCAGTCTATAGATATTTCGACGTTTTCTCACCCACAAGTGTGCAGTTTTATTTTACGTTACTTAAATAACCTTACAGTTTTACCTCTTGTACAATATAAATTTAAAAAATGTATGACGTGAAATCGCGAGTAACTAGCTAGCGTGCTCAAAATCACACGCAAATGTTTGCCTCTAGGTTCTGGTGTTTTTTACTACACTTGTTCAAAATGATTTTAAATTTGCATGTGCAGCCATTTGTCTTAGACCAATTTTTCCGAAATAATCTCTTTTCTCCAGGAGAGATTATTGTATTCGCTGTAATGGCCGCTTGCACCATAGCACTGACTTTTAAATAATGTGATACGTCCGCTGTCAATGTGAATAAAGCTTTTTGGAGGAAGAAGGAAATATTCACCCCCTTATATACTGAGTTATGGGGACTCGGTAACTTGCAAAATTGTGCGGGCACCTGGGTCCTTGCAGGTTGTGCCTTTCCCCGGCGGCATGGTCTACAGGCCGCATTAGTAGGCTCACGATTCATCCGTACGTGGGTAACATCTGTTATTTACAGTTCTCTTAGTTATTACGACTTCAGAGAAGAGTTGGGATATTATGGCACTGCGTTCCTAAGAATAGCGCATTCTCACATTATCGACTGCCTTATAAAAATTAGTTTCTACTTAGGATACAATGAAATGAGTGCCCTCGGTGGGTGTCTTCTTTAGGAAATCGAATTTGTAGAAATAATAATCTCGTGAACTCAATTATATCTCCGCTTTGTGCTAGCGACAGCTGTCTTAAATTCGCATGACTACTGGTTTCGCTATCTTTAATCCACTTCGTCCCAATGACTTTAATGTCACGCGAGGATTTATCTCCCAACCTGACACCTTTGTGCGGACTTGGTGGAAAAAGTTGGATAGACCAAAATAATGCATACCAATATAGAATAAGAAGTCCGTGTTTAGACAACTATTACGAGATAAAAGACCTTTTGCATGGAGTGCGTGTTCAGAAGGATAACTGTGCTTCTTAATTTAATTTGCCGAAAGGCAGAAGGAAGAAAATGTTATCATGTTCTCAGATTGCAACATAACTCATTTTTACTAAAAATGCAGAAGTTAAATCATTTTGTTACTGACTTGTTAAATTTCTGTCTACTCGTAGTCATCATGTAGAATCCGAGGGTGTATTTTTGCCATATGTAGTCGCTGTCGCAATCTTTCTGTGGCTAGTCATCACATGTTTCTTCTATGAATTTAAGATTTGTAGGTCAGTCAGTAAAGGCAAATTACTTCTAGTTTGCCAGATTCCCTTGCATCTTCCACCACTGAGCCCCCAATTCTTTGCTGAAGTAGTAATAGGGTTCACTATGATGAGAACATGGTCGGTATTTTGTGAATAAAAGAGCATCGTTGCCCGAAAAGTTCAGGCTTTGCGGCAGAAGGTGTGTGAATCAATAAAATTCAGGGTTGGCTTTTAGTAAGTTACTTATTTGGAAACATCTAGATAGCAAACTGGCATTTGATTACCTACACAATAAAGCCAAAGAAAACCAGTGGTTTGAGTATCATTGCCCGTTAAATGACACTATTTACAAGTGAATTTGCACTAATACAATTTAGCATTTGTAATTTTTGTCTTTTTAATTGACCACATTACATGTGCCTTCGCCGTGATTGGGCAGTTATCCAGTGATCTTTTTAAATACGGAATTGTGATTGGGTAGACAAAATGTGGTTGCTTTGTGGTTGGTTGGCCCTTTTCCAGAATTTCATTGGCCCAACTTGATGATAAGAGCTGGAATATCACATGTCCGGACAGTTCTGCGTGGAATATAGGTAAGGCCGGGGCTGCCGCTAGGCCGAATATGGGAGCTGGGGTTGACTCTGCGGATGAGGATTCGCCTAAGGATAGGTTCGGTACTCTTCGCCATCATCGTGTCTAGGTGCCGATTTGTTTATATTATATTTTTTTTCATCGGGGTCGGATCGCTTTTACCCTGGAATTTCTTCATAACAGCTAGTCAAGTAATAAGTACCTCATATAATTCAAAAGTATTTTCACTACCAACTTCGGAACCAAAGCTTGCCGAGTGACGTTGATCCACTGCTTCCGATGTACAGAACACCATTACAGACTGTGTTCTCAAGTTACCTCACAATCGCTTCCATTGTACCAGCAACACTGGCAAACTTCGCCAATCTCATGCTGAAGGATTGGTTTGTCAACTTTGCTCTAACTATTTTCAAAGTCTTCCTGTGTACACTCGCTTGATTGGATCCGCTATAGTCATGCTTGCTATGTTCACGATCACAACTGCTCTGACGAAGGTTACCGTCGGTACGTTCTGTTTGCCTCTGTGTTTGATTTGCTCTAGATACAAGTGCTTTCTTCATTATTACTCTGGTGACTGTGGCGATAAACAACGGTAGGCGGTTATCACATCAATTAGCTTTTAGTTGGGAGTTCTATTAATCAGGGGAGCACTTATGGTATCCTAACCGTGCTTCCAGGGAGCAACGCCCGTGGCTTCCTTGAAGGTCAGGTGAGACTGTGTTACCTTTCCATCTAATGGTGTAATAACTGGATCGACTTTGTTACAGGCCGTGGCCGGCATCATCGCTTCTGCGTCCAACTTGATAACGATCGCAGCTGCAAGCGATCCCCAAGATGTTGGATTTGCCTATTTCCTTATTGGTGTCTGCATTATCGCCTTCACTATCGGTCTCTTCATTATCCTCTTCAAAAGTGTATGTTTAGTGTATTCTTTCATTTACACGGATCATCCTTCCTAACTGGTGCTTTCCATTGCATTTCAGCCCTACTTCCTCTATTATTGGAGAAGCAAAGGTAAAGGCTGGGATTGTCAAAGCGTAGCTACACTGTGGACTCTTGGCTTAGGAGGTAGATTTTTATTCTAATTTCAGACGGCACTGCTACGGACGACGATGTGCCTTTTAGTAGAAAGCTGAAAAGAACTGCGGATAATCTCTATCGCACTATGTGGGAGGTCAAATGGACTGGTTTCACTACCCTCATCATATTCGCTGTCACTTTGGCCATCTTCCCCAGTGTCTTCATTCTGATCGTTCCAAACAACTTTGATAAAAGTAGTGCGTGGCACAGTAAGTCACCAGCAGATTACTTTCCTTTTAAAGTATTCTTTTGAATTCTTAAAGCGCTCCTTTTTTAGTCAAATACTTTCACGCAGTGATCGTGTTTTTGAGTTTCAACATTTGTGACTACCTGGGTCGTATGGCGGTTGGTTGGTTTAAGTGGGTAAGTTACAGTCGCTCTTCCAACATTTGGTGCCATAATGAAGCAAACTTTGTCCGTCTATGTATTATTTACTGTTTCATGTCCTTGTGATCTGCAGCCCACTTTCGAGCAGCGCAAACTTCTCCTTACTTTGGCCATTGTTCGAGTCATACTTGTTCCGTTGGCGATGTTGTGCAACATCCCTTCTCAACGCATTCCCACTGTCTTCTACCACGACTCCATCCCCATAATTCTGGTCATCTTGCTGGGCCTAACTAACGGATACTTCGTCTCCTTGGCTGTTAGTTATGCACCCAGGTAGGTAGCAAACCGTTGCCGATGTTTCAGTGGTTATGGGTTCACTCTTTAATCATGAGGCCTCTTTGAATGGAATACTTCAACTTTAATTATTATAGAAGTGTGGTGCAAATACTTACCTTATCCAGTGACAGCAGCGTGTGGGGAATGACGGTTTCTTAGTCCAATTTTAAGGGATACTTTGCAAATTCACATTATTTAACAAGGTCATTTGACTTGAAAACAACCCGGTGAATTGAAATATGGATCCAAGGACAATAGACTGCAAAATTGAAAAGTCCATTCACGTTTTCATGATGTCTATCCGTTTCAGGTATGCCTCGGCCGGCAATGAGGAGGGTTGTGGCATTGCAACATCCACTTACATCTCCCTTGGGCTATGTCTCGGGGTCACTCTCTCCTACGGAATGGTGGCTCTTGTCTAGACTTTCCCCTCCCAATCAGTGGTCATCTTCGTTTACGTGTGTTTTTGGTAAATGTTTTTAAAACAAACCAAGTGGTATCCCTTCACTACCCTGAATAACTCGTCCATCTTTCTAAACCCGTGCATGATCATTTTCATTTCCATTCCTGTCTTGAGAGACCAAGCAACCGTATTAAAAAGCCTTATACCGAATTAACAAGGGTTATCGGCGTTATGGCGATGTAAAAAGGGAGATCAGCTGCCTAAAGACATGTAAGTGGTAGTGCTTGGAAGGAGACCAATTTGCGGACTGTGTTAGCAGTTTACGATGAAATGACAACCCAAAATCAACAGGTGGGGTCTCGCTCCGTCCCAGCCGTTAGTCCTCAGTTAAGATAACCAACGCCAGATTAATTCCAGCACTGTCTGAAAATTATAATGGGCTCTGTGATTCTCAGCCCAGCATTTATAAAATCTCCACTGTATTATGCACAATAGATAAAGACACCACAGAAGCTGTATTCCATCGCGCAGCGAACGGCGCCCCTGACAGGTAGCCATCTTTCGTCGTGTGGCCTTTTCCCTCATGCAACACACTCCAGCCGCAAAATTTCCCAGGTTCATTGTTTGCCTACCTATAAATGCCCACTCTAGTTTGCGATGAATGCGCTATCAGGCGAATTATTAACACGAGTTGCTTGCTACCTAAAGCTTAATCTTCTAAGGTTGTAAATCAGATGCCGCCTGAATTAGTAAAATCTCGTCTTTTGCGTTATCACGTTTTGACAGAACGCTAGCCTCAAATTTAGCATCTTTTACAGCACCATTTCGGCCATAAATTTGCTCAATTAAGACGGCAGATGGAAATATCTATTAATAGGTGGAAATATCCACCTACAGTGGGTGCATAGACTTCGCTTAACAGCCGAGCCATCTGTAGCAGGCGCCATGGGCACAGCATCTGAAAATTGCCAGTCACTGCTGCCTGATGCGACAGAACTCAGCTCGTGATGGCCGATGAAGGGAGACGCGGCAACATTGAAGTGTCATTGTCTCAGTGAAGGGGTGATAGGGATTTGGAAAATAAGCGATATTAGACAGGCAAACCAAGAAGAGTTAACATAAATCAAGCATTTCTCTTGAATGAGAAATGAAGTTCCCGTCACTCCCTTCCTCGGCAGCAGTGGCAGCGACCAGACACCGCTTTTTTTACGCATGCATTGAAACGTTGCTCAGCTGATTTTACCTGTTGTGTAAAAATCAAGCGGAGAGAAATCATGAGTTGGATATTTAAAATATTCCCCAAAACAGGCAAGGACAGCGATACACAAATACGAATAATTTAATGACTTTTACCGTGTAATTTGCTCCGGGATTCTCAAACTCCGTAATTTTTTTCCATTCAAATCAGCAGTCAGGAGCTGGAGACGCTTTAAAACACATGCAATAGCTAAGCCGACTTAAGTATATGTCGAGATTAACTTTTCCCAACCGACATAAAAGAGTATGCGCTTCCAGGGTAGACCACTTGAGACCCCATATTATTAAAGACTGTCCCTAACCACAGCCTTAGGCTCGATTAACGCCCAGAGGGGATCAACTCCTCAAGAATAATGGGGTGAGATGTGTACCGGACATCCAGCCTTAGCGCTTGTTTGGTGATGTCGCTGGTCCGCTCACCTCAAACCCCTTATCAAACACGTCCATCTTAGCAGCGATGGATTAGACTGAAGTTTTATTAGTGTCACCATATTTCCAAAATGGTCATCGTTGCTCACACTCAGCTGGTCATTACTTGCTAATTGTCCTGTTATCACCTCCACAATCACCTCCGGTTAATCGCACTGCCCACTCTGCTCTG